TATCCTTGTTAATTTTTTAGCTATTGCTTATCCTTGTTAATTTTTCAGAGAATACATAAAAAAATGGAGCGCTTTGCTTGGATTCGATGACGAATCGTTCTCCGTGATCAACTTCCTGGCTTCGGCGGAAAAGCAATTGCGGTGGGAAGCCTTAGGCCTGCCGGTTGATCAAACTGCGTTAAAAAATGCCGTTCTTATAGACCAGGTAAATTGGAGATTTTATGATGGTCTCACAGTCTCATACGTTGGATGTTTATCTTCATAAAACGTTTTACTGATTGTAAATGTTTTATTGACAGGCTCTGGAAGGGAACAAATGTGGGTTGACGCCGCTGGTGCTGGACCCCGAGGGCGAGATGGAGGCGTGGCTGCGGCGCGCGCTCGCCGACACGCCCTGCGACTTCGTGCCGCACCACAGCGACAAGCTGCCCACTGCCATGCAGTACGCCACTCGGTCAGTAATTAAAGAATTTTTATTCATATATCTAACTCAAAACTAATATGATGTTTTTTTATCGATTTTTTGTATTAAACACTAGTTCACTTAAATATTTACGACTGAGAATACCTTGTTTAATATTAAGAGCAGTGTATTTATTGTGGTTGCAGTTTGAACCGCATCCTAGTGATAACAGAGGTGGAGGCGCAGCGCGCGCCCCGCGTGCCCGCGCGCCGCCGCTGGCTGCTGCTGAGCCGCGCGCCGCGCCCGCCGCACGCCGCGCACGCCCCGCACGCCCTCTCCCCGCTGCTCTGCGCCGCCACGCTACACGCACTCACTGGTACACTATTTATTACCAAAGCGATATTTTCTTTCTGTATGTATTTTTATGTTTTTACATTTCATTTTTAGATCAACTAGTCCATTATGCCCTGCAACAACAAAACCCCGAAGTCAATGAAAAATCTAAAGAGATCAAAACGAAGAAAGCCGCTTTACAAAAGCAACAATATGAATTACAGGTAATAATTTCTAGCTCGATGTTTACACATGACAACAGAGAAATCGTCAAAAAATAAGACACTAAAATAATATTAAAACTTATTTTTTACAAGGAATTGTCTCCTACTTTTTTAAGGAAAACCTTCTGAAAGAGTTATCGAAGAACGGCGACATCCTGCACGACGCTAACGTACTGTCGTCGTTGGAGCAGACGCGCGCGACCGCCGCCACCATCCAGTCGGCGCTGGCGGCGGCGCGCGCGCTCGAGGCGGAGTGTGCCGCCGCGCGCCACGCGCACCGCCCCGCCGCCGCGCGCGCCGCCCGCCTCGCGCTCGCGCTCGCCCGCCTCGCCGCGCGCCGCCCGCTGCTGGCGCTGCCGCCGCACACCGCACAGCGCGCCTTCGTTCACGCACTGCACCACACGGCTGCCGCCAATGTACTTATAATATTATCATTTCTTCTAGTTGTACTGATATTTACTGAAAAGTATTAAGGAAAGCTTATGTCCATTAGTAAGCAGGCTACTGAAGATGATAACGAACTAATATTTTGTTATTAAATTGTATGTAAGTTCAAATACGTTCTAAAGCGTCAAAAAATTGTTTAAATATAGCCATCTTAGTTCTAACAAAATTGAGGGACTATATACTATTTTCATTTCTAGAATGTGAACAATGTTAAAACCGACGAGATAATAAAGTATATGACGCGGCGCATCGTGGAAAGAGTGTTGTTGAGTTTGCACAAAAATGACAAATACATTGTGGTTCTATATATATTGAAGGAGGTGTACGAGGATCTGATGCCGGACAGTGTAAGTTTTACATGGTATAACTATTTAAAGGTAGGTGTTTAATATTTCACTATTGCATTTTTGTTATTAAAAATATACATTAATATTACAGTTGTGGAATGTGTTAATTGGGAATTTCAATATATTGGAGGATCAAAATACTGTTAACGAGATCAAAAATAAATACCCGTGGGTACCAGAAGAAAGTGTCAAAAAGTTGGCTCAACTGAAGGTAATTATTTTTTTACATAAATGTTAAAAGTAATTTTGACTATTTTAATGATGTTTCCTTTAAATTTTGTAGGTAAACAACGAAGATCTGTTCAGGAAGATGTGCTTGGACAATGAAGCGGTGTGGGCGGAGTGGTGCGGCGGCGGCGAGGCGAGCGCGCTGC